GTGGGAGGGCCGAAACACAAATCCATTTGCTCTGACCTCTCATCCGCACGTACTAGATATTTTTACCATCGTTATATCTTTGGTTGCATCGTAGTATCTTTGGTTGATTTGATGAGGTATGGTTTTGCTGTAATGTCCACACCATGGACTCCGTATTTGGTAAAGCAACACGATGAAGAAGAAAGAATCTATCGCACTGATCTGGAGTGTTCATTGCCTTTTTTTCCCATTTCTCTACCCAAGCAAACAAGCGCCGAGGTGCAAGAATCAAAGGATCGCACGGCTAGCTTCGGCTAGCATTCTCTACCCATTTAGATTAGATTGACGAGAACTGAGCATTTTAAAAAAACAATGACTTGAAAGACCTTTGGTTTGTGAAAGTCTTTTTAGAGCACCTATATATATTTTGCATAATGGGGTGTGCTGACCTCACTTTTGGTAGCAACAGGGATGGAATGCCAGCGTACACTGGTGGTGTGACAACTGGATGCTCGGGATATTGGTTATGCAAGACCCCATCCCTGCATAACTCGCTTTCCTCAAAAGTCAACAAAACTACTTTATATAGGACGTAAGTTTTCTTACGTCCTACTCCAAGATGTGAAAGTCGATGCGTTTCTATAAATTGTGCGTCCCAGCTTGGGGAAGGATTTTTGGAAGTCGATGCAATATTGTGTCCTGCTGGTGTTTAGCAGATAGACTTTTTCTCAGCAGATGTTTTTTCCATGCGCATCGTGCACACCAGAAATTCAATAAAGCCGCCACTAGGTTGCAAACTGGTTGTCACAAAGCGAGCGCTGTTGATGTTTTTACTTCAAGTAGAGGAAGTGGTACCTGTGTGTGCTTTGGAGCCTGGGTTTGTGCGCTGCTGCTGTTGCTGCCTGGCTGCTGCTGCTGCTTGGCTGCTGCTGCTTGTCTGCTGCTGCTTGTCTGCTGCTGCTTGTCTGCTGCTGCTGCTGCTTGTTTGCTGCTTGTTTGCTGCTTGTCTGCTGCTTGTCTGCTGCTGCTGCTGCCTCCTGGCTGCTGCTTGTTTGCTGCTTGTCTGCTGCTGCTTGTCTGTGGCTGCTGCTGCTGCTGCTGCTTGTCTGCTGCTGCTGCTTGTCTGCTGCTGCTGCTGCTTGTCTGCTGCTGCTGCTTGTCTGTTGCTGCTGCTGCTTGTCTGCTGCTGCTGCTGCTGCTGCTTGTCTGCTGCTGCTGCTGCTGCTTGTCTGTTGCTGCTGCTGCTTGTCTGCTGCTGCTTGTCTGCTGCTGCTTGTCTGCTGCTGCTGCTGCTGCTGCTGCTTGTGTGTTGCTGCTGCTGCTGCTGCTGCTTGTCTGCTGCTGCTTGTCTGCTGCTGCTTGGCTTGTCTGCTGCTGCTTGGCTTGTCTGCTGCTGCTGCTTGTCTGCTGCTGCTGCTTGCTGCTGCTTGTCTGTTGCTGCTGCTTGTCTGTTGCTGCTGCTGCTTGTCTGCTGCTGCTTGTTTGCTGCTTGTCTGCTTCTGCTGCTGCTGCTGCTGCTGCTGCTTTTGCTGCTGCTGCTTTTCTGCTGCTGCTTGTCTGCTGCTGCTTGTCTGCTGCTGCTTGGCTTGTCTGCTGCTGCTGCTGCTGCTTGTCTGTTGCTGCTTGTCTGTTGCTGCTGCTGCTGCTGCTTATCTGTTTCTGCTGCTGCTGCTGCTTATCTGTTGCTGCTGCTGCTGCTGCTTGTCTGTTGCTGCTGCTGCTCCTTGTCTGTTGCTGCTGCTGCTGCTTGTCTGTTGCCTTGCTGCTGCTTGTCTGCTGCTTGTCTGCTGCTGCTGCTGCTGCTGCTGCTTGTCTGCTGCTTCTTGTCTGCTGCTGCTTGTCTGTCTGCTGCTGCTTGTCTGCTGCTTCTTGTCTGCTGCTGCTGCTGCTGCTGCTGCTTGGCTGCTGCTGCTTGTCTTTTGCTGCTGCTTGGCTGCTTTAAAAGAGTGGAGACATGTCATGGCGGAGCTGTGGCGGATGTACTTTCGTACCTCGTCCGGCACCTCGTCCAAGCCACCCCTTTGTTTCCTGCTCTCCAATGGTTGCAGACCTATATGGCAAACACAGGTCTTTGCAGTACATGGCTCAGCCATCGAAGGCAGCTGCATAGGAAAGGGAATAAGGCAAAATCCATTTGATGGCCGTGGTTTGACCATTTGCTTGCTTGAGCATGTGTCTTGGATCCCTATTTTACCACAGCAGCAGCAGCAGCAGCTGATTCAGGATTCCTTGCCGCAGCCTGCTTTAGATAATCCAGTTTCTGGTGAGGTTGCGGCGAGGAATCCTGAATCAGGCTGCTGCCAGAAATCCTCGACAGAGGTGGTTGCTGTGGTTATGTAGGGATTCAAGACACATCCTCAAGTTAGCCAATGGCCAAACCGCAACCATCACGAAGCCACACTGGAGCATGCACATGGATTAGTATCAGTGCTTTGGGTTTGGGGAACCGTCACTTTGGTGGAGTGGATCATACGGCGTCCCATGGTGAACTCAGTCAAGAAACATACAATTTCCTTCGTTTTCTGATCATTGTTGGATGTGCGTCCACATGCTGAAATACAGTTTTCTGATGCGTTCCATTAAGATTAAACGATAGAAACAAACATAGTTTTATCGCTGCGTCCTGATGGTGATTTACATCTTTTTGCATTGACGTGTTTGACTTCCTGAATGCGCGGCGTCTCATGGGGAACTGGCATGGTTTCTGAAATTGCTTTGACTTCTGCGGACCGGTGTAGTAGATTTCGGGCGCCAAGTTGTCCTTCAGAGGGGACCCGGGGACCCAGGCCATCTTGTACCCTTCTTGTCCAATAAAAGGACAAAACATGTGTATAAATTGTAGCCGCGTAGCCGCTTTTCAGGCACCCTTCTCCGTGGCGCTCATCCATCCATGCATGGAAGCGATTAAACAATTCAGTTTCATTCAACGTGAAAATAACAAAAATAGCAGGGAAACTTTAAGGCAGGAAGTTTCTTTCTTCAAATGCAGCAGTATGTTTCTTGGATGTCCAGTTTGTCTTGTAAAAATATTGTTTGCGTCAGGAATCCAGCCCCAGGAAGGCATCCACAGATGCTTGCAAACACATGATTTAAAAAATTGTCAAAAGAGTTTGATCTAGTCATTCTAGTTTGTTTGGTTTTGTTTTAGCTTTAATGAATGTTTCATGACTCGACTTCCAGCACGAGCACTAGATTACTTTGACGAACATGGGGTTTTAAAACAAATGTTACATGTACTACTATATAAATGACTTGAAAACCAGATGAACAACCTTTGGTTTGTTAAAGTAGCGTTTGATCACCAATTTTGGTACTAATTAAATGGGGTGTGCTGACCTCACTTTCCGGTAGCAGCGGGGATCCCGAACAATGAATTTCAATGTCTCTTACTTAGTGCAGCTCATTGCCGACTTGTAAGCTGTGAAACTTTGCGAATCAAACAAACTAAACCGTTTCTCATAATTTCTCAAACGAAACTTGTTGTTGCACGGTTATGTCCCCACATGTATTATTTTTACAGTAAAACGTTTTGTTTAAGTGACAAAGGAAGCAGCTTCTTTGTGAGCCCGATATATCGAGCAGGATTTATCGAAGCATGTGAGTCATGATATTTTGTATGTGAAATTTGGTAGATCCGTCCCGATGACAGCATTTTCACAGATCAGTTCCAAGCAGTCGGACATAGAATATGATATGCTGGACGCAGTGACTCTAAATTTCTAAATTTCCACCTGTGTATTATTAGAACAATATGAATGAGACAAAATGACTTTCAGCATTGTTCTCAATTGTTGGCCCAGTTTATAGAAAACAACAATCTACATGACCATAACGTGTCAACAAAAATTACAATTACCAAAATAATCAGCAACCGGCCGACAACGTCCAAGGTCCACACTCCGTGTGTTTTGCTGAACTTTGTTCTCGGCTCTTCACAAATATGTCGCAGTTTGGGTACCAGTCCTGTCACATCATGTCAAGGCTGTCTCCAAAAGCAAAAAACATGTGACAAACAATCAAAGAAGCAATCTCCTGATAGAGGCCGCAAACTTCCTGAATCAGCTTCATCAAATGAGAAAACTGTTCAACAGTATGTTGAATTTTATCGAAAAGGAATATTGCCAACAGCGGAGTCCACCGAGCGATGATAGTGCCACAATTGGACTGGCCAGAAGCATTTTTGAACCTGCCCCCCCCTCCCAAAAGATGACTCGCCTCCATCTTCAAGATTTGCAATCCAAAATGGCAGACCTTTTGAAAAGAACCAAAACGGCTACAATAGCGGCGCGGCATCATATGTGTTTGTTTCATGTCTTATTTTGCTTTGTTCTTGAGGTTTTTCATGCTTAACGATTGCTGATTTTTGTTGAGCCTGGACGAAACCAAAGGGAAAAATCGAGAAGAAAAGAGCATCATACGTTGATCTGTGCCTTTGTCCTCTTTTAGCTATTTGTTTGCATTTGTTTCATGCCTTTCTTGAAGCCATGGCTCCCAGACCCATTTTAGATAACTTTCCGAGGAAGCACTTTTCACACAAAATGTAATAGGTCTTTAGCTCGTACCAGTCATTTTAGATTACCAGTCATGTAGTGGTGGTATGTGGCGTTTCTGGCGTTTCCCTTTCCAAAACCTTGTTAGTTTCATTGTGTTGAGTGTAGTTGGCTCCACAAATGACACACTCTACAAAATGGGTCGTCATGTTTTTATTTGCCAATTTGCATTCTGCAGAATGTATCATGGACTTTGTTTGTGTTTCTGTATAGAAGTCATTCTCTCTTTTTCTCTATCTATATAAAATATCCCCTTCCAGAACCTTACCATTTTGCAGAGCGTGTCCCTGTCTCCAAATGCCCGTGTCCGTGGCATCTTGTAGAGACTCGGTTTCTACCAGCTTTTGATTGTAGGCCTCTGGCTAACTCACACGGGGATCAATCCTGCCTTAACCTTGCATCCTGCATCTTTGGAGACAGCAATGGCCTGCCAGCCTTTGTGTTTTGCATTATGCCACATGTTTCGTGGAGGCAGCCGGGCTCACAGAATCCGAAGAAGGACTTTGGGCCACTTGCAAAACGATAGACAGCTCATGACAGTTCATGGTTTCAAGATGACTGATCAAGCCAGATGGCTTGCTGCTGGCAGGCGAGGAAGGCGAGCACACGGCCTAATGAAGAAGATTCTGAGGTTAGGTGTTGCAATCAACAGCAACTACTGTATATTTGCACGCGCTGCTCAGATTCGGCAAATGCATTCCAAGCTGAATGCGTTGCAGCAAACTAGTTAACAGTTCTTGTGTGAGGTGGCAGGAGAGCACCACAGCCCAATCCTTATTTGACGTGTGGGATGCCAATTCCCTTAGGTCCCACACAAACATTGGCTGCAGAATAGAACTGCCTATTTGCCCTCCAAGTTCCCAAGTCAAAGCAGAAAGCATAAGGCAAAGCTCGGAAAGAGGGCAAGGCCAAGAAGAAGAAGAAGAAGAAGTGGAGCAAGAAAGAGCAAAGGCAACCGCCAGAACAGCGCAAGGATCTTAAAGATCAGAAAGCAAAGAAGTCCACAAAGTCCAAGGACCTCAGCAGCTACCCCACAAAGTTGATTCTGTTTCATCAAACTTCTTAGCCGCTCCAGCCATATTCTGTTATCTATGGAGGACAAGAGAAAAAATACGACTACAGAACATCGTAGATCACAGAAGAAGTTGCTTGACCTTTGTGACCAGGCAGGGTGGTTGAGACTGACGCAGGTCAGAAGAAGAGGGGGCAAGCATCAGCACAAGCTGTTCGGGTCATTCGTGTCTTCGTAAGGAGGATGGGTCCAACGATGCTACACAGATTGCAGACGTGACCAGCTTAGCTGATTTTCGGCGTTGATGCCTTGTGCTCCAAAAGGTATGGACCCAGTGGCCGAGAAATGCGCTTATGTACAATTATATGGCAGTGTGCAGAACAGAGGACTTTATATATTTCCAAATGGCATTCTGCACCGAAAGCATCCTAAAGCATGCCAAAGAAGCAAAATGCATTTGGCCACAACGAATCACAGACTTGACTTTGGCCAATGGTGCAGCAATCACACCCAGTCTTCAATCCCAGCAAGTTCAATCCAAGACAACCTATATAATGGTTTCCACCATGTCGTCCAGCCCTCTTTTGCACATCTCATGTCACTTCCGTTGCTTTCTCTAGCTTCACCCTTTCCACTTTTGTGCATCAACCGACCCTCATCTCACCAAGTCTCAGCCTCACCTTGCCTCGCCTGGTTTCATCTCATTTAAGCTTTTGGCATGTGCCGTGCTGTAGCATATGGGCCACTTGTTACGCACTACAATGCAATGGAGCTAGCTAGGTTTGCGGAACTTTATGCCAATAGCCAGTCATTCGCGGCACAGACTTAACCGAGTCTTCTTGGAAAATGGAAAGGCCTTGGACGCAATGTTGGCTTCCACAACTCAACTGAAATGACAACATCGGCCGCTGACACTTGGCCGAAGCATCCATCAAAGTGCTTCAACGTGCACTTCAGCCCAGCGTCCAACAACAACAGGCCATGCGCATCATAAATCATGAACTTGGGTAGTGATGCTGGGCAAGGCTGAAATAAGTGTTCCACGCAGTTGTTTGAGCATAAGGATGATTCTGATATCACGCAGATTGGGGACAGCGCTGGTTGATGCAGATTGTTCTTTGTTTTTCGTTTTGGCCTGGGCTGCAAACATGCACAAAGTTATGCATGTGGACCTGCTAGCAGAATAATCATAGGAACATCCAAAAATATAAATAGTATGAATACATATACGTTGTTTTGAAATATGAAAATCATGTTTTAAAAAACAAAAAACAATTGAATATGGAGGTGTGTTTCTTGGGACATGTATATTATATATGTGTTTTCGTTTTTTTTATACTTGCTTTTGCTTTTGCTGTTTTTTGTTTTGCTGCCTTTTGTTTCTTTGTTGCTTTTTGTGTTTGCTGTTTACCTTGGGTTTTGTTTTTTGTGTTCAACTCGGCCCGTTTGTTTTTTTTGTTGCGTTGTTGCTTTTCTGCTTTTGTTGCTTCTGTTGCTTTTTGTTCCGTTGCGTTTGCCATGTGGTGCACTACTGCGCTGCTTGCACACGCTCATATTTCAATATGTACTCAACTCATACACATATCAGACAGATAGGTTTCAATACGCTTTGCGAATGTGTTTGTCATGTTTTGGGTGTTGGTGGGAAAGGACATTGAAGCACAGCACTGCGTACATGTAATGCTTACAAGACGCATTAAAGCAGGTGAGAGCCAGGGGCTATTGCAAGGTAGCAGGCCTTTGTGAGCCACCTGGTGGCAAAATTTAGAGGAGGCAGGAGCCATTTCCAATGTAGTAGCCCAATGTGTGAGCCGCCCGAGGGCAAAATGTAGAGGAGGAAGGGACCATTCCAAGGTGGCCGACCTTTTGTGAGCCACCTGGTGGCAATATTTAGCGGAGGCAGGGCCATGCCAATATAGCAACCCATGTGTAAGCCATCCAAGGGTAAAATCTAGAGGAGGCTTTCAGTACCACTGAATCAGGGCATTTTGAATCCTAATCGTTCTAAATATGGTTATGAATTTTGCTCTTGGACTTTGATGTTGGATCTTGATTAATCAATCCCCCCCTCCCCCCCGCCCTCCCCCTCAACAATTGAGACTCCAGAAAAATATGCTAGAAAACCAATCAAGTGATAAATACATAAGAAATCCTTAGCTAGCTACCTCTGGAGCTACTCTGGCAATACTAAAATGAAAGGAATCATTGCTTGGCTATCTCTGGCAATACTAATTGAAAGGAAGTCTGCAATCAAAAACCTTCAAAAACATCAAATCTCAAAAAAAAATATAACAATAAAACAATCACCAAAAAAACACTATTCTGGTGGCCTTTATTGATCAGTGCAGGAAAAAATGTCATTATTCTGGGATACTTTATTAATCCAGGTTCAACATTGGGTGGTGTAAGATTCCAACGAAGCATTCCGCTAACGGTCGGAAGGGGCCATTCTAAGGTAGTAGACTTTTTGTGCGTTATCCGAAGGCAAAAATTGGAGGATCAAGGGGGCCACCTAAGGTAGCAAACCGTTTATAAACCACCCAAATGTAAAATTTAGAGGAGTATCCTAAGGTAGCGAGCGAATACTGAGGGATGATTGTTTTCGGCTAATCAAAAATATATAGAATTGCAAACAAAAATCAATTGTTGTCAAATGAAGCTGGAGCAGCGGGGAAACAAATTAGTAGATAAGGTAGCAGCAATACGCCGATCAAACAAAACAAATGGGGGAACAAGTAGGGAGACAAGGCAGCAGCAGATAAAATACCAAACAGACAGGCAGACAAGTGGGGAGACATGTAAGGAGATAGCGACAGACAAACCGCCGATTACGCAGACAAATAAGTGCAGAAACAAGCAAGGAGATAGGCAGACAAGTAAGGAGACAAACGGGGAGATATAAGGGAACAAGGTCAACCAAAGCGGAACACAGGTGCCTAATCGTTGAGAAGTAGGAGCCCCTATAGCTTTCAGATATTTGGGGAATAGGTGGGGGGATATGGCGGCACAGCAGCAAAAACGAAAACGGCGATCACACAGGCAGAAACCAACCCCCGTGATTGTATAGGTAAACAAGTGGAAACACATATAAGGAGACAAATGGGTAGATAAGGCAGCAGCAGCAGCAACGGCAAACTAAAATGGCAATCCTACGGGGAGACAAGGCAGCAACGGCGCAACAGCCGCACACAGCAACGGCAAAACCAAAACGGATATAGACATTTAATCACGAAAGCTAGCTGTAGCTAGCTGGAGTCTGTTTTGCTTTGGCAAGGAGGGTGGGAGCCCAGGACCTGAGTGCTATTACCTGATATATCAGGACTATACCCCCCCCCTCGCGGGGTTCAACTCCACCCTTCTCCTCCTCAGTACCTGCTGCTGCTGCCTGCTTGGTCGCTGCTGCTGCTGCTGGCATCTCATCTGCGCCTGGCTCTTGGCTGCTTGCTGCTTGCATGCTTGGTGCTGCTGGATGCTCTTGGCTGCTTGCTGGTTGCTGCTGCTTGCATGCTTGCTGCTGCTGGATGCTGGCTGCCTGCTGCTTGTTGTCTGTTCCGTTTTGCTGCTGTTGGCTGCTGTTGGTGCTGAAGAAAGCCTATTCGTTAGAATCGAGAGTAGTTGCATTCCCTCTGAGTCGTGAAACGGTGCCAATTTCATTATATCCTTAAGAAGCTTATATAGGCATGTACACACCCCACAATCCCCAAGAGTACAAATCAGAATGCACTATCCGCCATCCACGCAGATCAAAAGCTGATACTTACTACACACATGAATGACAGAACCCAGTAAGATGTTTGAACGGGCTGTTTGCTTCATTTATGGTAGTCCGCGTTCCATGTTCGAGCGACAGGGAGCACGCACAAGCATTGCGACGGAGTCTTCGGTCGCTGACACATGTTCGCACGCAACCCTTAGATGTCAATCACGCACGCCGCTGCTGGCTGCATCGTCAGCATGTATTCGTGGAAAAATCAGATATATCAGATATATCTGTCTTTCCACGTCGCCCTTCTACAATTACTCAGGCAGCACCTATATGTACTATTGTTCGAGACCAAATGTTGGGGGCACGAAAGACTCTAAGGAAAGTCACTCTTTCCTTGCTGCTGCTGCTGCTGCTTGGTAGCTGCTGCTGCTGCTGCTTGGTAGTGCTGCAACTGCTTGGTAGCTGGTGCTGATGCTGCTGCTGCTTGGTGGCTGCTGCTGATGCTGCTGCTGCTTGGTAGCTGCTGCTGATGCTGCTGCTGCTACTGCTGCTGCTTGATAGTTGGTGCTGCTGCTTGCTTGCTAAAGCAGCTGCTTCTGCTGCTGTTTGATAGCTTCTGCTTGCTGCCGCTGCCGCTGCTGGTTACAGCTATTGTTGTTGTGGCTGTTGCTGCTGCTGCTGCGGTTGCTGGGGTGGTTGCGTGTTGCTATGTGTTGGCTGTGTTGGGGTCGTATTGGGGGGGCGTTGTTGGCACTCTTCTTTCCCCTTGGTTATGGCATGTTGCGATTCCCGGCCAGGTTTTTGCTGCCTAAAGAGCCCCAACGTTGTTTCTTTGCTTAGCTTTCGCCACCCTCTTCGGGGCCACAAGTGATTGAGAGATGAAAATTCTTTAATATTTATTGATCTTTAATATTTTCAAAAATTTTCAAAATTACAATATATATGTATATTACATATTGAAATTGAAATATGAAATTATAGGATAAAAGAAATGCCGATGAATTTAAGGATTGAAGGTAATAAAGATTTTTATGGAATTTATTAGTGGGTTTAATTTTGCTAATTGAAAAATAATTGATTATATAATTATAACCAAAATATAAAAAATTATATAATTAATTTTTGATATATTTTATGTTATATGTGAATTGCACTCTATGCAATTAAGTTAGCATGTTAGGGCCGTCCGAACCTTAGAATCGCCGTTCGCTTGAAGCGAGGGTGGGCCGTAACGCGTGAGCATTGGTTGCGAAAAGGGTTGGTTTCGCGAACGATTTCCGAATATAGTCGGAACCTCGTGCGTCCGTATTTTTGTTACCGTAGCATTTGCATGGTAACGAATTTTGATTTAATCGGGTCATTTCTAGGTACTTTTCCACTACAACCTCTTAATATACACAACTACAGCAACAACATTATATCCCACCACAAGCCACAACAAATTACTCCATCGGATCGATAGACCCTTATACTTGGGACACTATGTCCACCGCTAGGCCTCTATAAGCCTGGATACAAATAGCTTGAGGAATAATTTGTGATTCATTCCCCAGGTCAATGGCTAACCCCAATCATATATTGAATGGAGAAAACGTATTAATATCTTTTATTTGAAGATGAAATTCCAGAAACGAATTGGAGAATATTGCCTCATTTTGATTGGCAATCTACAAGCAGCTTGGAAGGTGGTGGAGGATTTCGATTTAAAGAATGCCGATAAGGAGACCGCCTTCGACACCATCTTTGAACTCTTGGATAAGGTATACGTTTGTGATAATAGGGTGCAATTGCCTCAAGATTTCGAAAATTTCTTTATCTATGGAGTTAAAAAGCCAGGCGCCACTATATTGCAATTCTGCACCGAATTCGATGAAAAAAATTCGTAGGGTATAGGCTCACGATATTAAACTATTTTTACAGGTATTTGGATGGTTCCTCCTCAAGAAGGCCAATATCATCAAGGAATAGCGCTAAATGGTTCTTATACTATAGAATGGGCTAGCGCCCGGGTGCCGCCGACCCCCACACACTGGAGCAGAGCCTTCGCCGCTCAGGCTCAGGCTGTCGCGTTTTTTTTGGGGGGGGGAGGTCGACCATATTTTTTGCTCGCTATGGCCTGGGGCCTTAGTGCGTCGATATGGAGGGAAGGAAGCTGACGTTGGGTAGGTGGAACGATGGATGTAAAGAAGCCTTACAGCATTGGAGATGTACCCAAGG